TGTCGCGTGGTCGTGTGTCGCGTTCGGTCTCACTATCCTCGGCGTGGTTCACTGGTCGGCTGCTGCACTACGAATGATGGAGAATATGATGGTTCTGAAAAGAACCGTTTTTTTTTTTTAACCTATTATCGCACGCCGTACTCTCTCTCTCTCTCTCTCTCTCCTTTCCGGCAAATAGTAAATCCGTCAATTCCATTAGGCACGTTCGCCCCTAATACGTCTTGCCAGCTGTATATCTTCGGCATGATCGTTACTCGCTTAGCGTGGATCGCGCACAAGTTCGTATCCTCGAATAGTCCGACCAGGTACGCTTCGCTAGCTTCTTGGAGTGCCATTACAGCAGAACTTTGGAATCGCAAATCGGTCTTGAAATCTTGCGCTATTTCACGGACCAGCCGTTGGAAAGGCAATTTTCTGATCAACAATTCGGTACTTTTCTGATAACGACGAATTTCTCTGAGAGCCACAGTTCCCGGACGATAACGGTGAGGTTTCTTAACTCCGCCAGTAGCAGGAGCACTTTTACGGGCAGCCTTCGTGGCTAATTGCTTCCTGGGAGCTTTACCTCCGGTGGATTTACGAGCCGTCTGCTTGGTTCGCGCCATTACGTTAAATTTCAGATAACTGAATATAAATTATCTATATAGCAGCGACGTGAATATTGCAACGGACAATATTATAGTGAGCGGAGGTAAACACCGCGAACAGTTATATTTATATGGGCTCGAAATACGAAACAGTCTGATTGGCCAATTGATAGACCAATAGGAGGGACGACAACGCTAACAAAACCGGGCGTCACGAGAGACGTACCGTCAGTTGGCAACAGCCCGTTCGCTTTAACAGTTCGACGTGCGAGAGAATCTTGAAAAATGACTGGACGCGGTAAAGGTGGTAAAGGATTGGGAAAAGGAGGAGCGAAAAGGCATCGTAAAGTTTTGAGGGATAACATCCAGGGAATTACGAAACCGGCCATAAGAAGATTGGCGCGACGTGGAGGAGTAAAACGTATATCCGGATTGATTTACGAAGAAACTCGAGGAGTGCTCAAAGTCTTTTTAGAGAACGTAATCAGGGATGCAGTCACTTACACCGAGCACGCTAAAAGGAAGACTGTCACTGCAATGGACGTCGTATATGCATTAAAGAGACAAGGACGCACTTTGTACGGATTCGGTGGTTAAACACTCCGCAGCAATTACCACGGTACAGGTTGAACGAAAATACAATACAAAGAAAAAAAAAACGGTTCTTTTCAGAACCACCATATACTCTCGTGAGAAGAATGGATCTGCCGATTGAACCGCCACATAATTTTCTATTTTTTTTTATACAAAATAAAAAGAAACACTCACATAAATGAGTTTATCGGAATATGAGAAATGATCGACTTATACGTTTTGGCTCTTTGAATTACAATAATCGACGATTTCGGTCCCGATATGTCCCATTATCGAGATACCGGCGAATATTAGACGTGAATGCGACGATGAGATGCCTCGATTAAATAATTTAGTTATTGCCAACTTCTCGCGCCACAACCGATCCGATATCACCCTGAGAAAATTTTTCCATATACAAATGATAATCCCTTCATTTTCTTATTAATTACTTGTTGCCCTGAGAAGGGCCGATTGTATGTTCAGAAGATTTTTTTTTTTAGGCTTTCTTCTCCGTCTTTTTCGGCAAAAGAACAGCTTGGATATTAGGGAGAAATCCTCCTTGGGCACTTGTGACGCCTGAACGCAATTTGTTCAATTCTTCGTCGTTTCTGATGGCCAATTGCAGATGACGTGAATAATACGGGTCTTTTTATTGTCGCGAGCAGCGTTGCCTGCCAATTCCAAAACTTCAGCGGCCAAGTATCCATAAACGGCCGCTAGATATACGGGAGCTCCGGCACCGACGCGTTCAGCATAATTCCCTTTTCGCAATAACCTGTGGATACGACCGACGGGAAATTGTAGGCCGGCCCTGCTGGATCGGGACTTTGCCTTTCCCTTAACTTTACCGCCTTTTCCGCGTCCTGACATATTCAATTTGTTAATCTGCTAAACGAACGACGTCGACTATGAACTTGCAAATGCACAACATGATCTCGCGAAACGTTGTATTTATATGAACTAACCGACCAATCGACGCGAACGTTTGCCGGCAAACGCCTGGGGGCGGAGTCTACGGTCGTAACGTCACCTGTCTAAATACGGCCAGAGAATTGCAGTCGTTCCGTTAGTCGAGCGTTGGTGTCGATTATACTCAGCATCATCTCACAATAAAATGCCACCCAAAACTAGCGGTAAGGCTGCCAAAAAAGCGGGCAAGGCGCAGAAGAATATCTCAAAATCTGACAAGAAAAAGAAGCGCAGGAGGAAGGAAAGTTACGCAATTTACATCTACAAAGTACTGAAGCAGGTACATCCCGATACGGGTATATCCAGCAAAGCGATGAGCATCATGAACAGCTTCGTCAACGATATTTTCGAACGTATCGCTGCGGAAGCTTCCAGATTGGCACATTACAACAAACGTGCCACGATAACTAGCAGAGAAATTCAGACAGCCGTACGACTATTGCTACCGGGAGAATTGGCCAAGCACGCAGTCAGCGAAGGTACCAAAGCCGTCACCAAGTACAACCAGTTCAAAATATATAGACGGTTGTATTCGCTTCGACGGTTATACGGTTCGAAAAATAAGAACAAAAAAAAAACGGTTCTTTCAGAACCACTATGTTATGATAAAATGCAAAATGATAATTAGCTGTGGTCGTTTATTTTAATCTTTCATCTATCTCTCTCTCTCTCTCTCTCTCTCTTCTCTCTCCTCCTCTCTCTCTCCTCTCTCTCTCTATATCTATATATATATATATATATATATATATGTATAGAGAAGTCCGTAATATCTGGAAGATGTCACCTGTATCACTGCACTGGGAAACAGTACCGTGATCGTAGGTGATCTAAACGCGAAGTCCACCATTTGGGGCTCAAGAAACAGAAACAGTCACGGCGCTGTTCTGGAAAGACTAATGGATGAACCTGGATATACCATGATAGGTCCGGACGAACCTACAATATACCCCAGCAACGGAGGTAGGACCAGACGTCATAGATATGGCGATTCTGAAGGAAATCGACATGCGCACCACCATCGGCGCCATGCAAGAGGGAAGCTCAGACTACAACCCCATCTTTCTCTGTACGGGAGATGGGATAACACCTGTGGAACAAAGAACAGTGAAGAGAGTGAATTGGCAGCGGTTTAGAACCAGACTGCACTATTCACAAGGACCACTACTACAGATCGAAAGCCCGAAAGCATAGAAGAAGCGGTCACGGACCTAGAAAGGAAGATTAAGGCTGCGTTAGAAGCCGCAACCACCGTGGAAGACATAACGCAACCAAACAGGTTCAGGGACCTACCTGACGAGGTAAATCGCAAGATCACCGAAAGAAACAGAGCCCGAAGAGTAGCCCAGGAGACCAGAAGCCCACTGACATCATGGTGGCAAACAGACTTATGAGACAGGCACGAGACGCCTTGAAGCAGCACCATCAGAGCACCTGGGATAAGAAACTCGACGAACTATCTCCAGCTGACCCAGGAATGTGGAACTTGGCTAAAATCCTCAGAAATAGAAGACAGCCCATCCCCCAATACACAGCGAACAGGGGATGGTGTACACAACCGAAGAGAAGGCAGAAGCTTTTGCTGACAACCTTCAGAGACAGTGTACTCTCACTACTCACCCCGATGAGACGAAGACTTCATCGACGAGGTGATGAGAAGATCGAGGAGAGCTGTCAGAGGAGGAAGAGCCATCGAAGACATGCCCTCTCCAGGCGAGGTAAGGGAAATCATCGAAAGACTCAGGTGAAGAAGGCACCGGGTGTAGACGATATTGGGAACAGAGTCCTGAAGAGACTCCCGAGGAAAGCGATAATGGCAATTACCAACATCGTCAACGCCATACTGAGACACCGGTACTTTCCAGATCACTGGAAAGTAGCCGAGGTGATCAACATTCCTAAACCTGGGAAAGACCCAAGGTTCCCCCAAAACCACAGACCCATAAGCTGTTGACGGCACTGAGCAAGATTGCGGAAAGGGTAATCGAACGAAGACTGAAGAACGAAACCGAAGAACTCCGAGTAGTTCCAGACGAACAGTTCGGATTCCGATGCGGGCATTCAGCAGAGCACCAGGTCCTAAGGCTGGTCGAGATGGCAACGAAATCGTTCCAGACTCGGCGGGCCGTGGGAGCTGTGTTCATGGATGCCGCAAAGGCGTTCGACACTGTTTGGCATGACGGACTGATCTACAAGATGGTAGACCTCGGATACTCAAAGGGGATGATCCAACTGGTGAAGTCCTACTTGAAGCACCGAAATTTCCGAATTAGGATCGGTAAAACAACCTCGACGACGAGGACTGTGGAGGCAGGAGTACCGCAGGGAGCGGTTCTACCACCCCTGCTGTATCCAATCTACAGCTCAGACATCCCGAAGACTCCTCAAACGCAACTGTATGTGTATGCGGACGATACAGCATATGCGGCAGAAAGTACGAGACCCCGCATGGTTACGGAATATCTGCAACGAGCGACCACCAACCTAGAGGAATGGTGCATCAAGTGGAAGATCCGCCTCAACCCCGAGAAGACCGAAGCGGTACTGTTCCGAAGAAATCGAAGATTACCTCAGACCAAAATAAAGATGACGACCACCAGAATGGAGAGAGGCGGGAGAAGAGATGAAGAGGTTGAGGTCGACTGGAAAGACTCCAGCACATACCTTGGAGTCAAGATGGACCAGAAACTCACTTGGAAGAACCATGTCGAAGACCGGGTGCAGAAAGTGAAGATGGCACGCTCCAAACTAAGACCCTTAACGGGCAGAAGAAGCAAAGTGTCACTAAAGAATAAGACCATCATGATTCAGATGGTGCTGCTACAAATCATGACTTACGCAGCAGTAGCTTGGGGCTACGTTTCCAAAACGATGAAGAAGAGGCTCCAAGCTCAACAAACCATGGCACTCCGTGAAGCGGTGGACGCACCGTGGTATGTACCTAACAGAGTGCTATATGACGAACTACGACAGGTACCGGTCGTAATCCAGATGAGAGAGAGGGCCAGAAAGTCTTTGAAAAGAAATGTGCTGATTGAAGCCGCCTTGGATTACGACCCAAAGAACAATAAGGCGTCATAAAAGACCGAAAAGCCAGCTGCAACAAGAAGATATTTGGCCCTAGCAGCTGATTGAGGCCAAAGAAAAGGGGAGAAGACCGACAATAGTTGTACACCCAAGAGGGGAAAGAACAGCCGTGTACAACGGGTGGACAAAAAGAAGCCTGTCGATTGAGGTGGCCAGAGTCAAGCACGGACTCGGGGCTAACCTCAGGAGACGAATGACTTACAAAATGACTGACTGACGACGACTGACTGACGCCAGTCGACGAGGAAAGAGCGAAGGCTCACCAACCTTTAGGAGGGGCTTAGGTCGAAAGCCCCCAGCGCAGGACCCCCAAGAAAAGAGGCCGGCCATAAAGTCGAGAACCGACAGTTGGAAGAAACGTCCACACGCGCTTCCGCGACGCGTGCGCGATCGAGTCAAATTTCGGGAAAAAGGGGCAAAATTGGGGAAGGGGGGATAGCTCGTTCGGCAGCACACACTCGGGGAATGCGCAAGCGGCCTGAACCACGCAGCGCCACTCCAGGCCTTTGGGCGGGAGTGGGGGGAGGAGCAGATTGCTCTTCCCCCCACTCCTCAAGGGTTTGAGGTTGCCTGGACAGGGGTGGTGGAGGGACCGCACAGGGTAGGAGGGTGTGTGTGTGTGTGTGTGAAGATCCGTAGCAGAAGAAGAAGAAGAAGACGAAGACCGTTTTGTAAAATAACAAAATTAAGTAACACAATTTTTTTTATACATTTATAGCCCATAAGTAACAGCAGAACCGAATAATTGCCAACGGAAATCCTTTTTATTTTGGTATTCTTGAGTTTAATTGATGTTAACTGCCCAAAATTGATTACTTATCGTTATTCCTTTCCCCGCGGATCGGTGTATGGTAACTTGTTCTAACAGTTATAGTATTAACGGAGTGTCATTGTTTTTATTGTTCAACAGCGAAATCAGTCAACATAAGGGTATCCACGATTTCCGAGGTTAATACAGGGTGTCCGCAAGTTGGGCTTTTCCTTTTCAGAAACAACTACCCTTGAAATAACAAGGTAATGCGTAATGAAACGAGGGCCGACCATGTAAAAAAAAATATAAAGGAAAAAGTACTCACTCTCCAGTTGACCCCATTACGTGTGAACGTAGATTCGTCTGTCACCAATATGCACTTCAAAAAGTCCGGATTATTGTCATGTTGATGCAACAACCACTCACAAAACCGCACTCTTGCTGGAAAAATCGTCAGGTTGGACGTTTGCCACACTCTAGTTTGTGATACTCGCACTTCTCTAGCCACGTCTCCTAGTGCTTGTTGAGGGATTTCTCGTCTACCTACGCGATTCAGTAGTTCTTCCTCAACTAGCACCATTCGTGGTTGTCCTAGACCTCCCACTGTGCCCACCTCGATATTCCTCCAAATGGCCCGTATCCCTGACTCTCTGGACCGGGTACACAAATCTGCGGGGCCTTGGATGATGTCGTCTAGGGAAAAGATCTGCATACACTCGCGACGATTCTGTATCATTTTGAAGACGTTCATTAATAAATTAACAACATATCAACGAGTTCATTATTGGTATATGAGTGTGCCATTATTATTATATTTATTATACCTCTATACGCGTGACCCTTTACCGTCGGTTGAAGGTTGCATACTGACCTGACACTCGGTCCCCCACCCCCGACCCAGTTCTGTCGTCGGGTTCAGCTAGTAGCCGGTACCTGTCTGGGGCATCGCGGCGGGTGGCGGCTACAGGACGGTATTCAGATATATTTGATGTTGCAGAGCCCTTTATCTCGGTTCCCTTAAGATATTGGTGTATATGGCACTAAGAAAAATTGCTTATGTTTTCAAGATCTACACGTCGTGTAAAGGATAACCCCAACTTTGCGGACACCCTGTATAATAGAATTAGAACCGTTCGATGTATATATTCTTTTCAAATTACAGTTTTTCGATAACACAGCATAGCATGTCCATATATGTATATATATATAATATATATATATATATATATATATATATATATATATATATATATATATTATGTAATATACACGTACATAAACATAGAATCACGGAAACGAAATGTAGTACATCGTTATTCGAATATTCGTACATTTTCGAAGTTCGCTCAAGTATATACTTTCGAGACTACAACTGGAATATTAGTCGAAATATTAAAGATCTACACACTTTCCAATATGACGTTGAATCACTGACCGGACGTACAGCGATATCGGATTGTTCGCCTGCGATAAGTATGGCCGCTATTAATGGGAAATGTATTTAAAAAAAACTTCTACACAATTTCCGATATGACATAGTGTTCCAGTCACTGTTGGTTGTCAGAGCGCTACGTGGCACATTTGCTCTAGAGTCACAGTGTCACTTTGTACCTAAGTCTATCCAGGTCTGGTATCCCAGAAAAGAGACTATTTTAACCAATATATGACATAGTATCGCACACTGAACGTACACCAATATCGGAATGTATGTCCGTACTTTTTCGAAGATTGCCTGCGAAAATAACGTCTCCGCTACTAATGGAAAATGTGTAAATATGGGATGTAAACAATTTCCAATACGACCTACTAATTCGGACTGAACGTACAGTGATATAGGTATATTCGTACATCTTTAAAAATTTACTGCGAAATTAGTGTCGACACTACATATGGAAAATGTGTCTAACATATATAAAATATACACTATTTCTAATATCCCATAGAATCGCTGGCGGAAGGTCCGGCGATATCGAATTGCACGTATATTTTCATATATCGTCTACGGATATTGTTGCTTAGCTAAAAATGTAAAATGTGACGGAATACGAATTTACACAATTTCCGAGTATAGAGATTTCGTTTTTCTTGCCGTGCCCGTTTAGAAATTGTGTACAAGTTTTGTTTTATTTTACTCGAGCCCTTATAGGAAATTGTGCGATAGATGCCGCGCTTTTCGAAACGCATCATATAAATGTAGCGTATGTATTGAACGATGATAAAGAATGCTGGTTTGTGAAACGGATTCGAGCTCGGTAGACGGTGTGTGGATAGTGAGTGAGGAGGAGGAGTGAGGAGGAGGAGGAGGCGCAGCAACTCGAACAAAAAACGGTCGCTCGCGTCCCTCCCTCGCGTGTCCTTCCCTCGCGCACATACACTATCGTTTTATCTCGATGTTTCATTATGCGTATATATACACATATACATATACATATATATACGCGCGTTCCACAGCGAGATCGCGGATTTAGCTAGCGCACAGCCGTTAAGCGGTCCAAATGCGATCGAACGTGTATAATATACGAAAGACGATCTTCAGCTCGCTCTTCGTAATATTTTTTCACATTTGCGACATCTCTCCTCATTCCGAGTGAGAATACGACGACGACGACAGTTGTTGTCTTTATAACCGAAACGTAGAACTATCTTTTCGATTACACCGTGTCGCTTTCAATCTAGCGAAGGGTCGAGAGAATGTTCGAAGTTTTCCACCGGTTACCGTAACGGCGCGCGCGCCTTAGTACGATCGTAGTCACTCTTAGCGACGACGACGACGACGACGAAAGCGCGCGCCCTGGTACAACCGGTATTAATACGTTAGACGTATACATATATATTTTATAAACACACACACACACACGCGCGCACACACACTCACACGCACACTCGTACGTGTACGCGCGCACGTCGAACACACAAATATACAAACACAATACGGTTTATTCATTTTTCCCGTGTGTGTATACATATTTACGTGTGTGCATGCGTGCGTGTTCACGGCGGGCGGATGGTGTGTGTTTGTCGTTGTATTGTGTGCTGTGTGCTGTTCGTTGACAGCATAATATAAACGTGTATGTGTGTATGTTTTGTCTGTATCAGAATTTGAAAGCGCGTGGCGCTCCGAAATTTATTTTCCGGAGCGCGCTTCACACGCATCTCTCTTTTGATTACAACAAAAAAACACCCGCGTGTAACAAACACACTTTTTCTATATCGTGTTACGCACGCGACGTTTTTTTTTTTAAACGCAACAGCTCCCTGGTTGATCCTGCCAGTAGTCATATGCTTGTCTCAAAGATTAAGCCATGCATGTCTCAGTACAAGCCATATTAAGGTGAAACCGCGAAAGGCTCATTAAATCAGTTATGGTTCCTTAGATCGTACCCACATTTACTTGGATAACTGTGGTAATTCTAGAGCTAATACATGCAAACAGAGCTCCGACCGGAGACGGAAGGAGCGCTTTTATTAGATCAAAACCAATCGGTGGCGGGTTCGCGCTCGTCATCGTACAACTTGGTGACTCTGAATAACTTTACGCTGATCGCATGGTCTAGCACCGGCGACGCATCTTTCAAATGTCTGCCTTATCAACTGTCGATGGTAGGTTCTGCGCCTACCATGGTTGTAACGGGTAACGGGGAATCAGGGTTCGATTCCGGAGAGGGAGCCTGAGAAACGGCTACCACATCCAAGGAAGGCAGCAGGCGCGCAAATTACCCACTCCCGGCACGGGGAGGTAGTGACGAAAAATAACGATACGGGACTCTTCCGAGGCCCCGTAATCGGAATGAGTACACTCTAAACCCTTTAACGAGGATCAATTGGAGGGCAAGTCTGGTGCCAGCAGCCGCGGTAATTCCAGCTCCAATAGCGTATATTAAAGTTGTTGCGGTTAAAAAGCTCGTAGTCGAATTTGTGTCCCGCGCCGCCGGTTCATCGCACGCGGTGTTAACTGGCGTGCCGCGGGACGTCCTGCCGGTGGACTTAGCCTTCACGGGCGGTCCAACTCAATCCCACCACGGTGCTCTTTACTGAGTGTCGAGGCGGGCCGGCACTTTTACTTTGAACAAATTAGAGTGCTCAAAGCAGGCTAAAACTTCGCCTGAATACGTGTGCATGGAATAATGGAATAGGATCTCGGTTCTATTTTGTTGGTTTTCGGAACCCCGAGGTAATGATTAATAGGAACGATTGGGGCATTCGTATTGGCGACGTTAGAGGTGAAATTCTTGGATCGTCGCAA